GTAACCCAAAACCGAAGGGGCCCATGTCCGAGATAATATTTCAACCTTTGGATTTTGCCGACAGCTCATGTAATCAAAATCAACTGAACTCTAATTGAACCCAGATTAAAACCCAGTTAGAATCTAATTCAAAACAGTTTAAAGCCGCAACAGAACCATCAACATCTCTATACTAGCCACTCAAAAACAAACAAAATCTAGGAAATTGAGGAGACCCCTTAATCCTTAAGAGTCATGCTAGGGAGCCCCCCTAATTTCAGAGGATCCGAGCCATCATCAACTTTAGTCGTTGCCATTTTGAAAGAAGTCTTGGGGGCAGATTTCAGATTCTGGCGAACCCATATTTTGCAGTACTGGGGGTCTAATATTAAGGGGAAGCGACTAATTGGAAGAGGATTCGGGGGTATATATAGGGATCCTTCCCTAAACCCTAAACCCTAAACACTAAACCTTAAAGCCTATACCTTTTTCTTTGGACAATGTCCCAGTTTGCCAGAGCACCATTTCCAAGGCAGGAGATCGATGACCAGATTGAGGAGCTCTTGGACAGGCGTGGCAACCATTGCAACTTGCTGGTTGTTTAGGGTTTAGGGGTTTAGGGTTTAGGGGTTGGGGGTTAGGGTTTAGGGTTTAGGGTTTAGGGGCTTTGGGTCTTGGGGTGTAGGGATTCAGGGTTGCAGGATTTGGGGGGGGGGGGGGTTCGGGTTTAGGAGTTTAGGGTTGTTAGCAGGGAATAAACGAACGCAGCCACAAAAATTGAATTAGCTGTACCAGTGTAATATATGACTGGGGATAAGGTAGGAATTGCTGCAAAGATTGATTTCCTGATCCCTTGCTGACCAGAGGTAAGTGATTCCACATCAGTTGGGTGTTGCTATGACCTCATAATGTTCATTTAAAGGGGTTCTCGAGGTTCTAGGGATTGGGATTTAGGGTTCATATGGGAGTTTCTCGAATTGAATCCTCATATAATTTCACAACAGGACTCAGGACGCGTTGCAGGCCCTTTCTTCCATCACCATGACTGTAATGTATTTCAACATCTTTCTTCAGTATTCATAGCTAGATATGCGAGTGATACTTTGTCCTTAACAGAATTCAAGTTCGTGTTGCAGACTTACAATTTTGAAAGCAAGCAAGCCTAGAAGCGTTTATGTTATATATATATATATAGAGGTATAAGAGGGGAAGAGGTAGATTCCAGAGGAGAGTATGGCATCCAGGATTTTTCATCATTATTGGATTTGGGTATGCAAAGGTTGTTTTAGCATGGCGGCAAATATATGGCAATATTTGTCATAAATGGTATACTCCGCAGGAGAGCTTCCGTACAACGTCTCACCAGGATAGGGCACGCATACAGAAAAGGTGGGCTATGTATGACCAGCACATACAGCACTTTTCAATTGGGACTTAGACGACGCCCCCTGCGAACATAATGTTTTGAGAAATCAATCCACCTGTATATGTATACATACACATGCGTGTATGTATGTATGTATGTATGTATGTATGTACAAATATATGTGTGCATGTATGTATGTATGTATGTATGTATGTATGTATGTATGTATGTACAAATACGTGTGCATGTATGTATGTATGTGTGTGCATGAACGGATTTTCGCTGATGGTAGTGTTGGGCTTGCATGGGCATGTGTACATGTAGCTAACAAAAGGTGGTCTCCATCACGATCAGTATATACCATCGAAGCATGTAACCATGTTACCGTAGTAGACCTCTGCAATCCTTGAGCCATAACTTGATGCTATAGGAAGTTATGGATAAATACAGATAAAGCTTCCGGTTTCAAGTGCAAACCAACCATTGGAAAAACAGCTGAACACGTCTCTTTTTCCGCGTAAAAATGGCCCGCAATGCGCCCTTCTCTCCATAATTTCAATAGGGACTCCTTAATGCTCTAGGTTTAGGGTTTCAGGAAGAGCTAGAAGAGGAGAAGACATGCGTAGTACTTGGGTTGACGCGGAGTCGAAGGTACAACAAGGGTAGCGTTTATGCACTGGTCGGTTGAAAGGCCGGAGGAGTTCAGGGTGTTGAGCTGACATATACTGCATAGATCAGCCACTTTGAGTAGGACTAAGGAACCCATGTCCATGAATTATCTGGGATATTTGGATTGTAGCTCATAAAAACATATTTAGGCACATACGTCTACACCTTCGAACGCTTCTCATCATTGCCATCATCATCATCATCATCATCATCAACGTCATCAAGATCATCACCATCTCCAATAGTATCCTTACAGTAGTAGCAGTAGCAGTGGCAGCAGTAGCAGTGGGGGCAGCAGGAGCAGATACCTGCCGGGTGCATGACAGTCCCACCAAGAATAGTTACTTGGGTTTGGGGTTCAGGGCTGCCTTTAAGTGCGGCAACAGGATGTGACCAATGGAATGTCCGACCGGGTGCATTGCAGG